ATAATACATTGGTGCCATTGCTTGTGGTCAGATTGCTGTGAAATGATGCAACATAACAAATTAGGCACTGGTAATAGAGTGTCCGAGCCTACCAACTCCCATATTCTAAACTTTGTAACCTCTGCACTTCCTAATTTTAATATATTTTATATATGTGAAACAGCCAATTTTTACAGTGCGATTTTGAAGCTTTCTTTTTGCATGCTTTCCAGATGCTTGAGGTTCTCTTTTGGCCACTGGAAAGCTACTTACTAGGAGGAGAAGATAGGTGATAGGTGCGAAATCAAGCAGAAGGGCCAAAAATGCCACACAATACTCAAATGTGCAGGGCACCATTGAAAATAATGTGATTCTTCATTTTGAGCAGTTAAGTGCTTGTTTGTGTCTTGGTGCTTAAATAACAAAGTTATACCCACCTAAAGCTCCAAGCCTGCTAGCTGTTACAGCTCTCCCTCCAGCCTGACTCCTCTTATAATGAAGTGTTGAAATCTTCTCAGCGTCTTTACGTCTATAAACAGGGAAATTTATCAAAACTGAAGCAGACAAAATCTGGAGCAACTGTGCATGGCAACCAATCAGCTTCTTGCTTTTATTTTCACAGCCAAACTGAAGAGAGACACTGATTGGTTGCCATGCACATTTTTTCTGCTCCAGTTTGGATAAATTCCCTTCAAATTCTCCCAGCCTACTCTCTCATTTTCAAAGTGACCGGAAACTGCCTGTCCCCATATAAAGAATAGCAACAATCTGAGCTTCCCCTCATTAATATACAATCCTTTTAGATCCTTAACCCTTTGTTAGGGCCGATAGTGATATTGAGATTTGCCCTCATAGTGCAGACAGGGTTTATTATGTTAACATTAACCTCCTCACTGCCCTTGCACTCTTGAAGTATACTTCAGTACAGAAATTTCAGAATAGAGCATGTATTATGTAAACAGCATTTTTTCATGCTGTGTGAATGAGAACATGTACCAAATATAAAATAGATGTTGTCTAAATTTGGCTGCAAAAATACATTTTAAGTGCCATGTTTTAGATCTCCTTGTATTGTTCTGCATATCTCTAGACTTGAAAAGTGGATGCTAGTGATGGCCTGGGGTCTAGAAAAGTTGCAAGTTTTTGCACTAGCACTGAAACTGAGCGCTACACCACTTTGTGTGTTTTTCTATTTCAAAGATTTTATTTATTTTATAAACATATACAAATATACATCAACAGTCTGCAAGGATAAACCTATACTTTATCACCCTGCTGACCCTCCCCACCTACCACCTTTAAAACAAACAATACAATATGACTATAAGCCCTCGTTCACACCTGAACGTTTTGTAGCGCGTTCTACGCTTGACGAACGCTCTACAAAACGCTCAAAAATATAAATCCCTTTGTATTCAATGGTCTCGTTCCCACCTTGGCGTATTTCCGCCCGTCCCTAACGCGCTACAAAACGGCCCACGCCTGAAAAGGTACAGGTACTACTTTGGGCCGTTTTGTTGCGCGTTTCCATTGGGATACAGCCAAGTAGCCTTCGGAAACGTGCAACGGTCGCGCGACTTTTTTACCGCGAATCGCGGTAAAAAATGCGCGCCGGTCGCGCATATGCAATACGCCTAGGTGTGAACGAGACCTAAGACCAGAAAAGACTTAACAAAAACCTCAAGACTAACAAAACAAAAAAGGGTGGGGGGCCGGGACAAGACACCAAAATCATTTATACAGGAGCATCAAGCTTTCTACTGAAAGTGTTGGGTAAGCATACTTAATCCAAGGTTCCCAAGTCTTCATAAACTTTTTATTGGAGTCCAACAGGATGCTAGTCAGTTTTTCATTAAGAAAAAATTGATCCATCCTCTTTTTAACTTCCCCGAAAAACACGTGTGGTTTCCTCCATGCCATGGTCTGTTTCGCTGCCAACATAACATAAGTCCCCATTTTATGTTGTGAGTTGGTCAGGGATGTAGGTTTTTGATGTAATAAGGCTACCCATGGATCTCTTACTATATTAGTCAGGAAAAGATAATTAACCACTTCAAGACCAGGTGTTTAGACCCCCTTCCTGGCCAGGCCATTTTTCAGTATTCAGCGCTGCGATACTTTGACTGACGTTTATTCCGTCATGCAACGCTGTACTGAAATGAATTTTATACCATTTTTTTAGGACAGATAGAGCTTTATTTTGGTGGTATTTAAACACCACTGGGGTTTTTATTTTTTACTATAATTAGGAAAAATTACAGAAAATTTTGGAAAAAAAAAGG